TTTTAACAGCCCAGTCCTGTGAATGTTTACCCAGAAATCCACCAATTTCAGTGGGGCATATGTTCAGGTAAATCTGCATTTGACAGTCTTATCTCGTATTTGTGTCAACCTGCTCCAATCTGCAGAGTTTGACCTTAACTACTTTATCTAAGGACAGTTTCATATGCTATGTTGTAAAAGTAGTAAGTCTACAGATTGTAAATTCATTGGGGTCAGGAACCTGTAGTCTCCTGCATTGTGAAGCTTTATATATATTTATTTATTTGATTAAATTTATATACTGCCCTTCAGCTGAGGATCACAGGGTGGCAAAATCTGTACTTGTTTTATTTAAAACACTTCTATCTACCTTTTTCACAAAGTGAGTTCAAAGTGATAAAGAACAACAGATCCATTATAAAAATGTGGAGTAGTGGTTGGATCTGGGAGATAAGGGTTGAAATCCCTGTTCAACCAGGAAGATCACTGGATAACCATGGGCCAGCTGATGTCTCTCAGCCTAACCTCAATGGGTTGTTGGGAAAATAAAACTGCTTATGCCACCTTGAGCTCCTGGGAGTTACAGGTGACATATAAATAAAATAATAAAAATTACAACCGATAAACACCAAATAAACATCAGTAACAGAGGTAGCGTCACTAAAATAAAACCAAGAGAGCAATAAGTAAAAGCCTTCTGGAACAGCAAAGTCTTTGTCAGACTGTTAGAAGGGGGAAAAGTTTATGAATAAATAAACGATATTATATTTTGCATCTGAGATCGGAATTCAGAAACAGCACTACCTGTAGGTGCCTATCGCACTCGCCAGTTCCTACTAGCCCCCGTTTGTAAATGTTTTTGGCTTCTGTCAGGTGTCTTTTCTTACGTGCTTCTCTTCTCCAGATTTATACCACAGCAAGCCATTTAAAAAAATATATAATAATTTGTATTTTTGGTGCGGAGGAAAGGCATTTGCGATAGACAGCCTTTGTGAATGACGTCATTCTCGGCGACTGCGGGAAAGGCCCTTTTCTTCCCCGGCGCCTTCTGGAACTTTCGGGTCGGCGAGGGAGCATCGGTTGGGGCTGGCGCCGGAGCTTGGCGGGCGGGGGGAGGCAGCGCAATCCATCTCCATCGGGGGCTCCAGAGGGGCAATCCGGGGTCAGTCATGCCGGAGAATGCGGGCACGAAGGGCGGCCTGGTGGGCGCGGGGAGCCGCAAGCTCCGGCGGGAGCCGCGGCTCCTACCAGGACAGGGACAAACCCACCCAGATTCGCTTCAGCAACATCTCGGCGGGGAAAGGTAATGTCGCGGGCCCAGGCCGGGGAAGCGCCCCTTGTCCCCAGGCCGCGCGCGGGGGGGGGAGGTGAGCGGAAGGCGCCATTGTCTCCTGATAGGCGGCCGGGAGGGGGGTTGATAGGCCGCGCCACGCCCTCCGCCGCCCCTCCACCCCTCGGGGACCGGGCAGCGGCTCCCTTCCCTCCTTCGCAGGTGGCGCCGTGTGTGGTATTGGCGCTGTGCAGAATCCATTGAACGTGCTTGGGAACATAACATAGGGGACTATTGCTTTGTTTAGTTTTTCTTCTTGCTTTTATTATGTGCTTTGTATTCTGCATTTTTTGTGCTGGGAGCCGCCCTGAGATTTCAGGAGGCAAGGCGGTATACAAATTTAATTAATAATAATAATAAATGATGGCAGTAGTAGGATAATAACCAAGCATGCTAGACAGTGATTTTGCAGAACTACATTGTGATGCAAGTTATCTATTTTTCAGCTACAAATGTACCACTTGTACATACTGATTAAATATTGTGCTGTGAAACTTTGGATGAAAGGTGGTATATACATTTAATATTATTATTATTATTATTATTATTATTATTATTATTATGACCCTCGCCGGATCAATAGCCCATCTAATCTTGCATCCTATTCTCACAGTTGCCAACCAGATCAGTATTTTGGGAATGATTCATGTTCTGCATTGTTTCATACTTTCTGGATGTCTCATGCTCCTATTATAAAGGGGTTGTGTTCTGTGTTATAAATCAAGCACTGATAGCAGTTGTGTCTTTTTGTTTTCCAATGCATTTCTTATCAACAAAAAACTTGATGTGGCCAGTTTATTCTAAAAGTGTGACCCAGAGGAAAGTTTGAGAACTAAGTTATGGTGTTAGGATCAGCACAAAGGTAACCATGCTGAAGATTGCTGAAGTCAATCTTTTGCTGTGTAAGAGAAAAGGAAAGGGGGCATCTCTTCTACAAAGCTGGAAGATCTCCAAAGATGAAACAGTATTAATAGTGCACACACAGCTTGCTGAATAAAAGCTATTGGGGGGACCGGACACTTTCTGTGTTGCTCATTCATGTGCATACCTACTCAGAAATCAGGCCCTTGTTCCCTTAGTGTTTGAGACTGCATGTGCCATGTACATAGATAATGCTGTAACAATCATGAATAAATTGGAGGTATGTATCTTGGTTATCAGAAGGGACGCAGGTGGCGCTGTGGGTAAAAGCCTCAGCGCCTAGGGCTTGCTGATCGAAAGGTCAGCCGGTTCGAATCCCCACGCGGGGTGCGCTCCCGTTGCTCGGTCCCAGCGCCTGCCAACCTAGCAGTTCGAAAGCACCCCCGGGTGCAAGTAGATAAATAGGGACCGCTTACTAGCAGGAAGGTAAACGGCGTTTCCGTGTGTGGCTCTGGCTCGCCAGAGCAGCGATGTCACGCTGGCCACGTGACCCGGAAGTGTCTCCGGACAGCGCTGGCCCACGGCCTATAGAGTGAGATGGGCGCACAACCCCAGAGTCTGTCAAGACTGGCCCGTACGGGCAGGGGTACCTTTACCTTTATCTTGGTTATCAGAGCAAAGTAAATCTAATTGAACATATTGGTGGACTGTGGGCCCCCCAAATACTAATATAGAATTACAGTGATCTGAAATAAGCTTCACTTTTTATGAAAGGCATTCCTGTATTTTGTGTAAGAGAGTTGTCATTGTAAGATAGTAACAGCCCAGAGGACTGAGGAAGGCTTTCATGGACACCATGGTGCCTTCACATATTGGGCTGGAGATGACAGGGTTAACTTGTATTGAAAACATCTAAGCAGTGTAGAACAAACATAAAGTCAGGATAAATGTAAGAAGACTAAAAGCAGAAAAAGTTGTGAAGAATTCACCAATCACAAAGTCATAAAGAACTGGCCAATCTCATAAAAATGCCGCATGCATACCTGGAAAGGCCTGTTGACACCTGGAAGACTTCAAAAGGCACCTAAAACATAAGTGACGAAAATAAATTTAGGGGGCATCATAAGTTGTTTGGGAACCTGACATGCCTCAGGATGTCAGCAAACACATTTTTAGTGCTGCAGGGAACAGCTCCTCTTGTCCACAGAGAGAAGGGAAATTCCATAGGTGGTGGTGCTTTCAGTCCCATCCTCCATCACCTCCCATGTCTAGGCTGAGTTTGGCTCCAGACAGGGATAGATTTGTAATGGGATCAGAGCCCAAGGAATGCATGGGGTAGCATTTCTACTAGCTCCATCCCATCAGTTAGTGGTGTCCATGGCTAGGCTTTCCTGTGCAGCCAGCAGAACCAACTTAGAATAATTTAGATGGGCATCAGAGCTTCAGGGATCTGCCATGTATGGTTGCTGCCTGGTTCATTCCAATGTTTGCTGGAAAATAAAAATTTATATTTTCACTTTTATTTTAGCGGTCGCAGATGCGGTTAGGACAAGCCTTGGACCAAAGGGAATGGATAAAATGGTACGTCTTGAGTGTATGCCTATCATATTGTGCATGTAGCAAATTTTTAAATGGTGCTTATGAATTCTACGTAATCCATTTTCTAAGCTGCTGTGAAGTTATTTATTGTTCATAAACTTTTTCAGTTGTGTGGGGAAAAGGCTTTATGATTAAATCGTCATGGAGCAGGTTCCATGTTGAGTGAAATTAATTATTTTGGTTAGCACTAACTATACAAGCAGACAAACATAAAGAGATTGTGCTGAGAATGCAAACAAAGTGAGGTTGTTGGGTGGCAAGATGCTTCAGGATTTTGAATAGTGCAAAGGGAGGGCATATCCTTTGGCTTGAAGAATAAAGAGGACCTGGAAAAGAGTAAGGTGGGATTAAACTTTTCTTGACCTTTATAGCAAAGAGGGTACCTAATGCTTCTTGCGGCAGTTGTGTAATTGGTGCAAATATTTCAATTTCCCCCACCATAAACATGTGAAATGTAAATGACAGATTTACACCTTTAAACATGTTTGGGGAGTGATAGCCTAATCAAGGCTCCAAGGTAGGTGTGCTTAGATGTTGAAGGGCATGTATCTGTCATACTTGATGAACCAGCTTTGCCCTTTTCAAACAGACCAGATCACTGTGATCATCTGGAGAAGCCCTCCTTACTGTCCCAGTTTTCACACATTCATTTAGCTTCAGCACAAGCCAGAGGTGCTGGCTCATAGGGGCTGAGAATTTTTGGGCCCCTTCAGTATTTTCAGGGAGTGGGCCCAGCCACCCCAATGTATGGGGTGCTCTGGTGCAGTTCCTGGCCTCCCGACTGAGGGGTGCCCAGCAGCGCCTGGCCTTCTCATGGCGTCATAAGTGCATGTCACATGTTGCACATGTAACATCACAAGCATGCCTTGTGTGCATGTAGCATAAGACAGCCCCCTCAATCTTTGCTGCCAGATGGCACTGCTGGTACAAGCCAAGGCTTTTAGCGTAGTAATTTGGAACATTGTGCCTTACAAAATCAGGCACTCTCTGTTTTGTTTTTCTCTTTCTTGAGTTGGTCTACAACACTTGTGTTTTTTTCAGATCCAAGATGGCAAAGGAGATGTAACAATCACAAATGATGGTGCAACAATTCTGAAGCAGATGCAGGTCCTTCACCCTGCAGCCAAAATGGCAAGTAATATTTAAATTAAATTTCCTGTCAGTCCCCAAGGTGACATCAAATCATACACATACAATCCTCCAAATTTTTAGCTGTTGTTTAGTTGTTTGTAGAAACAACATCGGGCCTAGAATTTTGTGCAGCTATATGTGGAGCTCTTCCTTCTGACGGCATCTGTCCAAAAAGAAATATACAGGACTGTTACAATGATTCAGTACACATAATGTTGATCCTTTTGCGGAATCTGGGACATTACACAGCCCTCCCGAAGAAACAACTGGCAAAAGTGCCACAGAAAACCACTACTGCGATTGTAAAATGCTTATGGTCCACATAAGCCTGATAAACCTTTTTTTTTGTTTTTGTTTTTAACCTGAATTAGGGCTATTGGTGTACCATTCCAAGTAACAATGGACAAATGGACGTTGCCAGAACATTCTAGTTAAAATTTAATGTTCATTGTGACAGATTGTTGCAATGGATTTTCAGGCTGAGTGGCATGAATTAAATTATTACAGTATTTGACCAGAGTGCCCCTTGGCAAGAAGAGCATATAATTGATTAGTGACAGCTAAATCAAACGCAGTTGTGTCTACTTTGAGTATGACATTGGATATCACCCATAACCAATATTTAAAAACATTCCTTCAAGTGGTGTAGTTAGGTAATCTTATGTTCTGGGCTTAATGGTCTAACATAGGGTTGAGAGTGGTGTTGAAAACTCCCATTGTTCTAGGTGCATTTTTGACAGGGAATTTCATTAGTGTGAGTAGTTTTTGAGCTCTGGGGCAGTACTGCGCCTAAGATTTCAGATTAAAACTGCAGAGTGGAAAAAAAGGAGGACCTTTTTCTGCCTCCCCACTTCCAGCTACTCTCTGAAGCCCGTAGAAGAGACCCTCTTAAGAATATTAGGGGTGCGCAGGGGAAGGACTAAACCATGTGGAAAATGCGCACAATATTTTAGCTGCAGTTCATTCATTTTCAGCTTTGCATTCTTCTTATAAAAACAGCGCCTAGACATTCCGTTGTTGCACTCATAACTTAGTTTTATGGTGCCATTTATCTCCTAGCTTTCATATCTCAGTTTGTAGCACTGGTTGAGAGATTTCATTAGATGCTAATACGTATTAACTTCAATTTCCTCAAAATGTGGTAAACTAGATCTGCTGCGTTTGGGAGCAGCACTGATCTCAACTGGATTAATACTTCCCCGGAGTTACTGCAGTGAGGTTTTGCAGCATATTCAGTATACTGTTAATCACAGAATATTATTTTTTGTTCTTGCATTTTTTCTTGCAATTTAGGGCAAATAATAATAACTTTTTAACATTTGGCAACACACAGCTGGTGGAGTTATCCAAAGCGCAAGATATTGAAGCTGGGGATGGCACTACTTCTGTTGTTGTCATTGCCGGAGCTCTGCTAGATGCTTGTTCCAGACTCCTTCAGAAAGGTAGGTTTCACTTTTAAAAATATACATAGGTAATTTTGGCATATGAAATAAATGGAGACTCAAAAGGATGAAATTGAAAGAGAAAACTGAAGATATAAACACCTGTGTAGTCCTAAGTATAGTATACGTGTTTTCTTTTCCCAAAGTATGTGTACTAGTGGGTCTGTGGGAGGAAAGGGGAAAGGTGGTTGTCTGTTTTGGACTTACTATTTTTTGGATACATTGATATATCATCCAAAGCCAGTTTGAAGTCCATATCATGATATCAGTTTCACAGTTTTTAACCTGGCAATATATTGTGAATCATTGTGTGCGCGCGCGCGCCATGTAAAAATCACGGGGGGGGGGGGGGGAGTGAAGCCAGCCAATGCCTCTACATGGCTCCATCCTTATTTCTGACATTACAGTGGTACCCCGCAAGACGAATGCCTCGCAAGACGGAAAACCCGCAAGACGAAAGGGTTTTCTGTTTCGGAGGCGCTTCGCAAGACGAATTTCCCTATGGGCTTGCTTCGCAAGACGAAAGCCCATAGGGAAATCTCCGGGGACCTGTTTTAAATTGCTGGCGGTCGGGAGCAAAGACTTTCGCCCACCGCCGGCCTTCAGAAGAGGTCCTGGACCTCTTCTGAAGGCCGGCGGGGGGCAAAAGTCTTTGCTCCCCCCCGCCTGCCTTCCCGGGACAGCGGAGACTTCTCCGCTGCCCCGGGTGATCTTAAAATGCTGGCGGGCGGGAGCGAAGCGTTCGCTGCGACCCCCAGCATTTTAAAATCTCCCCGGGACAGCAGAGAAGTCCCGCCCCGCTCGGGATGGCGGCGCAGAGCTGTCTGCCGTGCCGGGATCAGCGCAGCTCTGCGCGGCCATTGGGAGCCGGGGGCGAAGCCCGCCCCGCTCCAGATGGCCGCGCAAAGCTGCCTGCAGTCCCGGGACTGCAGGCAGATCTGCGCCACCATCCCGAGCGGGGCGCTAAGTCCCGCCCCGCTCGGGAAGGCGGCGCAGAGCTGTCTGCCATCCTGGGATCAGCGCAGCTCTGCGCGGCCATCGGGAGCCGGGGGCGAAGCCCGCTCCGCTACAGATGGCCGCGCAAAGCTGCCTGCAGTCCCGGGACTGCAGGCAGATCTGCGCCACCATCCCGAGCGGGGCGCTAAGTCCCGCCCCGCTCTGGATGCCAGCGCAGAGCTGTCTGCCGTCCCGGGATCAGCGCAGCTCTGCGCGGCCATCGGGAGCCGGGGGCGAAGCCCGCCCCGCTCCAGATGGCCGCGCAAAGCTGCCTGCAGTCCCGGGACTGCAGGCAGATCTGCGCCCACCATCCCGAGCGGGGCGCTAAGTCCCGCCCCGCTCGGGATGGCGGCGCAGAGCTGTCTGCCATCCCGGGATCAGCGCAGCTCTGCGCGGCCATCGGGAGCCGGGGGCGAAGCCCGCCCCGCTACAGATGGCCGCGCAAAGCTGCCTGCAGTCCCGGGACTGCAGGCAGATCTGCGCCACCATCCCGAGCGGGGCGCTAAGTCCCGCCCCGCTCGGGATGGCGGCGCAGAGCTGTCTGCCATCCCGGGATCAGCGCAGCTCTGCGCGGCCATCAGGAGCCGGGGGCGAAGCCCGCCCCGCTACAGATGGCCGCGCAAAGCTGCCTGCAGTCCCGGGACTGCAGGCAGATCTGCGCCACCATCCCGAGCGGGGCGCTAAGTCCCGCCCCGCTCTGGATGCCAGCGCAGAGCTGTCTGCCGTCCCGGGACTGCAGGCAGATCTGTGCCGCCATCCCGAGCGGGGCGCTAAGTCCCGCCCCGCTCTGGATGCCAGCACAGAGCTGTCTGCCGTCCCGGGACTGCAGGCAGATCTGTGCCGCCATCCCGAGCGGGGCGCTAAGTCCCGCCCCGCTCTGGATGCCGGCGCAGAGCTGTCTGCCATCCCGGGACTGCAGGCAGATGTGTGCCGCCATCCCGAGCGGGGCGCTAAGTCCCGCCCCGCTCTGGATGCCGGCGCAGAGCTGTCTGCCGTCCCGGGACTGCCATCCCGAGCGGGGCTAAGTCCCGCCCCGCTCTGGATGGCGGTGCAGATCTGCCTGCCGTCCCGGGATCAGCGAAGCGTTCACTGCTGACCCCCAGCATTTTAAAATCTCCCCGTGTCCCGGTGAGATTTTAAAATGCTGGGGGTCGGCAGCGAAGCCCTTGTTCCCCCCAGCCCCCCCCAGCCTTCAGAAGCCCTTGTCCCCCCCCCCCCAGCCTTCAGAAGAGGTCGGGGGACAGACTGTCCCCGGACCTGGTCTGAAGGCGGTTTCCCTAGGAACGCATTAATTGATTTTCAATGCATTCCTATGGGAAACCGTGCTTCGCAAGACGAAAAACTCGCAAGAAGAAAAAACTTGCGGAACGAATTAATTTCGTCTTGCGAGGCACCACTGTATGATATATCAGTGTATCACAATGTTTAGCTGGTGATATATCGGCATGTTGAAAATCAAATATTGCCCAGCCCTACTCCTGACATGATATGACTATTGGATGTATCTACATTTTTGTATTGGCACTATTATGTACCTGTGGTAATTGTAACATATCTCCCCCGAATGGATTTTTGTGTATATGTTCAGTGATACAAAGTTTTTGGAGGTTAGTAATAATAATGATGATGATAGATGATAGATGATGATAGATATGGTGAAGGAAAATATTCCAGAAAACTTTATTATAATTTTATTAGGGTTTTGGGGTTGTTGTTTTTTTGGAAGGAATTGGATCTTAATCAGAAAAAGAAACAATCGTTTTTATGATGGGCCTAAAGTGTTGTTTCATGCATTGTGTTTTCTCTAAAATAATGGGGGTGGGGTCCAGCTAAAATGGATGATTAGTGTTTTCTTTTAGTCAAGGCAATGGAAGGTTTGGAATTCTATTGCTAGAGTTCATTTGTCAACCAGTTTAATATTCAGGATTAAGGGCAATAAGTGGATGTGAGCTATATTAATGTGCAATATTGCAAAGCATATTTATATGCTAATTCAACTGGAGACTTCACCCCCCAAAGACTTGTCTTTAAGTGTTGTTGAATAAACTTAAATCAAACGGTTTTCTAGGAATTCATCCCACAATCATCTCTGAGTCATTCCAGAAGGCTTTGGATAAAGGTACTGAGATCTTGACCAGCATGGGGCAGCCTGTTGAGCTGAGTGACAGAGAAACCCTACTTAACAATGCAGCTACTGCACTGAACTCAAAGGTGGGTAACTTGTGACATACGTGGTTACAGCATGTCTAGCTCGTGCTTTAAATATAAATTGCATGCAACTGTATTAACTAATAATTGAGACCAAAGTTTGGACCCTCCTTACAGTAATATTAGGAATGCTTCAATTACTTAGAATTGCCAGACATTTCTTGAGAGGAATGTTTTATGGTGAAGAAGAGGAGTTTGGATTTGATATCCCGCCTTTCACTCCCTTTAAGGAGTCTCGAAGCGGCTAACATTCTCCTTTCCCTTCCCCCCCCCCCCACAACAAACACTCTGTGAGGTGAGTGGGGCTGAGAGACTTCAGAGAAGTGTGAGTAGCCCAAGGTCACCCAGCAGCTGCATGTGGAGGAGCGGAGACGCAAACCCGGTTCCCCAGATTACGAGACTACCGCTCTTAACCACTACACCACACTGGCTCTCAGTGGTGTTCTGATCCTGCTTGCTAGCATTTAAAGAGAGGTGCACCCTCTGCAGGATCCTTTGAATGTGTGTGGCATCATTATTTACTTGCAATGTTGCCTTTTAATAGTGAAAATTCCGCCTTTGCAACTGCGTATTCTTTCCCCTTAGATCTTGCCCTGCTGCTCTTTAACTTCACCACTAAAATTGTATTGCTGAGTCAGAGATTTACTTAGAGATTCAGAATGGGAATTGCAACCTCTGTACTGCTCTCTGGTTCTATCTTAAATAAGAAAAGAAAAATTAAGAAAACAGCATGCCAATTACTGTTATGAGTCCTACAAAGAAACAATATAAACTGTTGATCTCCGTTTGTTTAATGTAATGTAACTGTTAGGTAGATTGAAATTCAGATCCGTTGGTGGAAGTTCTTATGGAAATGTGCATAACCAATGAAAACCCCCCAAGTAAAATGTGGGTCTTCACTAAATCCCTGCAGGTTGTATCACAGTATTCTAGTTTGCTTTCTCCAATGAGTGTGGAAGCTGTGATGAAGGTGATAGATCCAAATACAGCTAGCAGTGTGGATCTTCGAGACATCAAAATTGTTAAAAAGCTTGGGTAAGTAGTAATCTCAAAATACAAATTCTGTTACCTGTTTATTTTTAATTATTATTGTGCTAGCTTACTCTTTCAATACTTCTTTCTAGAGGAACAATTGATGACTGTGAATTGGTTGAAGGGCTGGTCCTCACCCAGAAAGTGACCAATGGTGGTATAACCAGAGTTGAAAAAGCTAAGATAGGTCTCATTCAATTCTGCTTGTCAGCTCCAAAGACAGATGTAAGTTGCTTTGCTTAATTTGTTATGTCTGCATCATTATCAGCTATCTTTACACATTGATTGCAACTTCTTAAAAATTCTAAGTATGCTAACAGTACATTATTTTACTTTCTGAATAGAATTACATGTCAAAAACTTAAAATAGGGGTGGGCTGACTTGTATGATCAGTTGCTTACATAGATTTTATGTGGTCCAACAGCATATCAGATATTAAGCACTCTTGTTTTTAACAGTCAAAATCTTTGTTAAGGTTTCCTGTTAAGAATCAGCAGGAACTACTGGCCCACTACTGAACTGCCTATGTCTCTTCAGTTTAAGCCTGAAAAAGAGGTATTAGCATAAAAGAAATAGTCATCAGGGCATATTCTTCTATAAACTAAGCTTAAGCTTGCAACTGCTTAGGTTGCAACTGAATGCTTTGATTGTAGACAGTGAGTTATATATTACTATACTACATATAGAAATTGTGATTAAGGGTAGCCAGCATGCTGGTTCCAACTGCCATCAGTCCCAGGCAGCATGGCCAATAGTAAGGAATGGTGGGAGTTGTACCACGATGTCTTATCTCTGATTTAGATGCTTAGTTAAGCTTTGTTATGCTTCTTCTCCTGTTAGATGGATAACCAAATTGTTGTTTCTGACTACACTCAAATGGACAGAGTCTTGCGTGAAGAGAGAGCTTACATTCTCAATTTAGTTAAGCAAATTAAGAAGACAGGATGCAATGTGCTGCTCATTCAGAAATCTATTCTGCGGTATGTTTATTCCAGTAATGTGCTTGCTGTCAAAGAATGAATGATATTCGGGATTAAAATTGTTCACGGTGTGATAAAGTTTAAGAGACTTGCTCTGAAACGTATTCCTTAAACCAGGGGCAGACAACAGAATCTGGCCAGTGGACCAGACATTCAGCCACATTTGAGGCTCTGACCAACTGTCAGATTTCACCCACACACATGTGGTTGAATGTTTAGTCCAACTACCTATTATGTTAGGTGACTCAATTTGAGTAAAGTGGGGAGTAGAGAGGGAGAGGGCTTGTAGGCCTTTTGGAGAGATTTAGGAAAAGCTTCAAACCAATGATGCACGTCATGACATCCAGTTGGGCCCAGGATAAATAATGACATCTAGTCGGGCCCAGGATACATAAAGGTGTGTTCTGAGTCTTGGGAAATTCTGAGTCTGATCAGAGCAGCTTGCCCATCACTAATAACGCTGCTGTGAGTCTGGTTGATTTTCTAGCTCATTCATTGTGTTGATTTCAGGGATGCTCTAAGTGATCTAGCACTACATTTCTTGAACAAAATGAAGATAATGGTGATTAAAGATATTGAAAGAGAAGACATTGAGTTTATATGTAAGGTAAGGAGGAGCTGTTAACTAGTTCTGCTGTAGGTGAATATTTGATTCAAAAAGTAATTGAAATTGGTCATAATACTGATTGGTGCTGCTTTGGAATTTGTTACACACTTGGTATGTAGGCTGTGGGAGGAAACAATACGTGAAAGAATTAGTAGGCTCTATTAGTCTCACTTCTTCCCAAGGAAATGGTAATGTGTCATCTTGCTTATAAAGATACAGCTGTAAACTGCCTTACTTCAAGCTTAGACCTGAGTGGTCGGAAGGAAGTCCCACCAAATTGAATGGGACTTCTTCCCGGGTAAGTGGATATAGGATTGCAGCCTGAGTATAAAGTATAGCATATTGAACTATATCATACCTTTTTAATCTATGGTCCCTCTGTTGATTTATTTTTGAAAAGACCATTGGAACCAAGCCAGTTGCTCATATTGATCAGTTTACTGGGGATATGCTGGGATCTGCTGAACTGGCAGAAGAGGTCAATTTAAATGGATCTGGAAAGCTAGTAAAGGTAAGCAGAACTCCTGTTTAGCTATTTAGCTTGCTTCTTTATGACACTTGAGGAAGTAATTTTCATGTCATTTTTATAAAATGTATACATTGCTTGATTGTAAAAACCTTAAAACGGTTTACAAAAAGATAAAAACATAAAATCAGGATTTTAAAAAATACAATACATTAGAACAGGGAGGCCCAACTTTTCATACTCTAGGTCCCTGTCAGAGCCCTCCTGCCTCCTTCCCAAAGCCCAGTGCCTTGCTTACTCAGCTTCGGGAAAGTGAGATGGAGAGGGGGTCAAATGTTGCAGGGAACCTCCAGAAAGGCCTCAAGGGTGGCAGATGGCCCCTGGGCTGTGTGTTGGACCACCTGCATTAAAACATACAAAAAGTTAAAAAACTAGATTACGATTCATATCATTACCAAGCATTTGGTTAGGCTTGTATAAACAGGAATGTCTTTAACAGAGCCCAAAACAAATACAGTCGTACCTTGGATCCCGAACGCCCTGGAACTCTGATGTTTTGGCTCCTGAACGCTGCAAATGCAGAAGTGATTGTTCCTGTTTGCAAACTTTTTTTGGAACCCAAATGTCCAACAGGGCTTCCATGGCTTCCTGCAGCCAATCAGAAGCCGTGATTTGGTTTTCGAACGTTTTGGAAGTCGAATGGACTTCCGGAATGGATTCCGTTAGACTTCCAAGGTACAGCTGTACAGTGAAAGTGTATCTATTGTTTGATATAAATAGGCAGGGAGTTCCACACTAAACTATTGAGTTCTTACAAATGTGTAAGGGGTGTTATGTGGAACCTGTAGTAGTGCCAGTTCCACCGATTGAAGTTGTCAAGTGGGCACATGTTTGGTAAGGCAATCTCGTAGGTAAACTGGTCCCAAGTTACAGTTGTACCTCAGAAGTCGAATGCCTTGTGAGTCGAATGTTTTGGTTCTTGAATGCCGCAAACCTGGAAGTGATTGTTCCGGTTTGCAAACGTTCTTTGGAACCCGAAAGTCTGACATGGGTTCCGCAACTTCCGGTTGGCTGCAGGACCTTCCTGCAGCCAATCAGAAGCCGCGCCTTGGTTTCCGAATGATTTGGAAATTGAACAGACTTGCGGAATGGATTCTGTTCGACTTCTGAGGTACGACTGTGTATGCTAATAGTAACACTAATAGTAGCGTGTGTGAAACGCAACCTTCCACACAGAATGAAACCTCATCACCTTAGAGTTAATGATCCCTCTATCATAGTGCTGATTCCCAAAAGAAATTCCGCTGAAGCTTTACTGTGGGGTATTTTCATAACTTCTGGACTACTGTGAAAATTGTTCATTGAGGCTCTCATCTTTACCTGGCAAAAAGATAGTCCACCCTTTATTGGTACCAGGAGATTATAGCAGGACTCAGGGAAGACGGTCATCTCTAATTTGTGATGGGCCAAGCCTCTTATAACATAGTTAGCCTCTACAGCAGACCATTAATGGAACACTGGGGTAATATGCGTCTGCTGACACAGCCCTATAACGGAGTAGACTGCCACATTTCTCACCGGTTGAAGCTTCCAACAATGTGAAGAGCAGCCCAAGCAGTCATCACAGTATTTTAGGTGGTTTGATGGACATGCATGGTTGTTATCTTCTTTCCATCTGATTAAGAACTTTATTCATCTCCATTGGGATTGTCCGGATATTGGAGTCAATTCTTTCTGCTCATTCAGATCTAGAATGGCCTTTGGGGGTGCTTCATTGACTCTTTGGGTGGGGGGTCCATAGAAGCAGTGCTGCTAATTCTCTAAATATTGTAGTGACACTGTTTTTGTCCTGCAGATTACAGGGTGTGCTAGCCCTGGAAAAACGGTAACAATTGTGGTCCGTGGCTCCAACAAACTAGTAATTGAAGAAGCTGAACGTTCAATTCACGATGCTTTGTGTGTCATACGCTGTTTGGTAAAGAAAAGGTAATGTATAAGACTTATAGACCAGTAAAGTCACCATTCAGCTTTACAAATGCCTTTTGTTAACATTTTCAAACTGCAAAATTCTAATTTCAGAGCCCTGATTGCAGGTGGTGGAGCACCAGAAATAGAGTTGGCCTTACGCTTGGATGAATATTCTCGCACCTTGAGTGGCATGGAGTCTTATTGTGTACGTGCTTATGGAGAGGCCTTGGAAATAATTCCATCCACCCTGGCTGAAAATGCAGGCCTTAATCCTATTTCTACTGTGACTGAGTTGAGAAACAGACATGCACAAGGCGAGAGAACTGCAGGAATTAATGTCAGAAAGGTAAGGGGCAAAGTGGTGAGACAAAACAAATACATATTATTGTATATTACACCATAGAATTTTGTTTTTTATATTGGAGTTTATTATGTAGTTTATTGTATGCTGCTCACCGCATTATGCATAACTCAAAGGAACAGTCAAAATATCATGTATTTGTTTTCTTTATTTCTGGTGTTCCGCCTGTGAGTGTAATTTTACATGTAGCCAAAATGGTACCATCTGTGCAGAACAGAGATATCAAAAGGTTTTGTGGATCGCTCAGGTACAGGATATATTTAAAGGCAAAAAAAATATGGGGGGTGGCTCCCTAGAAACAGCCTGATTAAGATTAAACTTGATTAGTGGCCACAAAATGCTGACAGGTGGTTGGGGTGGTTTGGCTGGTTGAATAGAAAACGAGGTTTGAAGTAGCTGGACTCATGAACAGCAGTTGCCTGCACTGCAACATTTTGTTGCAGTGGCTGGGGCAACCCAGTCAGGTGCGCAGAATACTACTACTAAGTGTAATTTCAATAATAATTGGCAGCCTCTGCAAAGGAATACAATAGAGGAATCTCTTGGGTTGCATTCTAGTTACATGGTATTGATTCATCAAAAATCAGAGACGAAATGTTGACCCCAATTAACATATTCAGTTTCATAAAAACAGCATTGACATAAAATTCACTTGCATTCTCAAGCCTATTTTGCTGTTCAGCTGTGACAGTTGCTAAATGTATTTTTATTTTGTTTATTTCTGAGTATAATATTTTTAAAAATTCTAAGTGGTGTACAAGCAATACAAATTAACATAAAATGGCAAAATGGTATCATAAAAACAAATCTAGTGATACAGGGTCCAGTTGGAACTTAAACATAGACTCAGATGGATTCATTCAACACGGATCTTGGTCCAGTTGGTTCCAAAATATAAAACTTTATCTTAAATGCAAGAGCTACTCATTGGAACTTCACTTTACTTATGTTTGAAAAATGTCAAGTGTGGTTTTTGAAGCTTGATAGTGGAATGTACCTAGAGATAATTGATTGTTGTGGCTTACTGATCCAAGGAACCAAGAATTAAATATTTGGCTCTGTAGATCCATCAAAAGTGACCTTTTATTGCCCAGCGTTAAGCAACAGAAAAAGTGGCTTGCTTTTATTTTCATGTTGTGAAATTTAATATTTGATGGAAACCTATGTAACAACTGATAAGTCGTCGTCTTATTATTATTATGACATTTTACTGGTGTTACAAAAATAATTATATATAACACTTGATTGCACAGCTTATTGCGGTTTTATTAAAATGATAAAGATTAACATACTCAGCACTATAAAATATTTGATTATTTTAAGGTTACTTCAACTAGAATTAGTATAATTAAATATATTCCTTGGCTGCATGCCATCAGTGCCTCATATACTTACAGCACAAGAATATTTGTTCTTTCCTACAAGCTGAGATCATGTACAGCATGCTCAAAAACACTTTTAAACTTGGATGTGAATATGGTTACGTGAGTTGATTGGCCACCTGATGAGACAGAGGTGCATTTCTCCAGAATGAAAATGTTGAGATACATAATTTCATGTAATTTATGCTGGTAATTTGTTTATAAACTGAGGTTTCCATTCTTAATTTGTAGGGTGGAATTTCCAATATCCTGGAAGAATTGGTGGTCCAGCCTCTGTTGGTTTCCATCAGTGCTCTGACCCTGGCGACAGAAACAGTCCGCAGTATTCTTAAGATTGATGATGTGGTAAGTTACACTTAAAGGCTAACATTCTTGCAAATGGGTAGTTCATAGCAGTTAGCAAATGTTAAATGACAATTCCTATTATATCACAATGTGAATCTGCAAGTTAATATGCTGCATTTGTAACTAAATGATGAAAGTTGCTGCTCAAATTTAAAGAGACAAATAACTTAGTGAAAGTGTAGATTAATGCTGGATGCAAACAATGATACAAAATAATGTTGGTGATGCAGAGACGTTTGAAGGTAATGGTTAAAAGTATCATTCCATACCATTCTGTTTCTCTTTGCAGGTGAATACTCGATGAGATGACTAAAGAGACAGACTGTGCAGCTCAGCACAGTGTCGCAAGTTTGGAATGCAGTTCCTTCACTGGACATTGCATAACTCCCAGTTACATTTCATGTATACTTGTCAACTTAAATTAATAAAACCTTAAATTCTCAAGGCATATCTTGTTTACATTGTCTTTATAGCTAAACAAAGCACGCCCCCCGCAGTTTACAACAATTGATGCTGTTAGAGTTAAAACCAGTATTGCCACAGAAACCAAAGTTGCCACTCTTGATTTCAACTGATCAGTCACTTAAAAAGGTTTATAGTTATGCTAGCAGTAAGCCATGGTAGCTTCAAACTCAAAGTCAAACTTAACAGAAGACAAGCCAAAGGGTTTTCTGGATAAGGATGGAGGTAATTTGTGTTTCTCGTCTGTCTGTAATTCCACATCTTTGCTTCAGCTGAGACGACATGTTTTCATTTCAGCTTTAATTAAACGCCTAAAATGAATGGTGTCAGAAGTTACATCAGTTCATGCTGCTGGTGACGAGCCCTTGTACCATAAATCTAGGTCAGTCTCTAAGGTGCCTCAAGACTTTGTAACAACAGAACCTACAACTAATACAATTGCCTCTACAATATGTCCTGAGCAAGTCTGCCTAGACTTGCTGTCACCATTGGAAAAAAGCCAGTGTAATTTAGTGGTTAGAGTGTTGGTTGTGGGAGATCAGCATTGCCACTCTGCCATGAAACTTACTGGATGGCGTTGGGCCAGTCACTCTTTCCGCCTAACTGACCTTGCAGAGTTGGAGGGGAAGAACCATGTAAACCATGTTGAGCTAGGAAAGGTGGGGTATAAATGTCATAATCTGAATTAATAAAAACAGCTTTTATATTCTTAATGAAATCTGTTACACATCTGTTCAGAAGTAAACCACTTAGAGTATAATTAAGCTTACTCCCAAGCGTGTACATGATTGCACATTAGTGTAATGTGCAGGAATAGAAAGAAAACTAGAGAAATATCCAAATTCCTGTTTTATTTGGGACCTCTGCATACAAATCAATAGAGCAGAATGCACATGCGTTAATTCGGTGCTGCCATTGGGTTCAGAGGACCGCTGTTAAACCATACTTACCTGTACAATAAGCTGAGGTGCATATTTTCTGAAAGGTCTCTTGCAGTATTGTCCATTTTCAATGCAATTGCTACTTTTCAGTTAAGTAGACATGGTTAGCTAAGTCAGTTCAAGGGCAGTAACCATACATCTTCTCTATCATCCAGTGCTCTCTTCAACTTGGGTAACAATATAGTTGTACAGCATAGAATGAATGGAGATTTGCCCCTGATAATGTATTTCATCAATAGAAACCCAATAAGGCAATAGATCTTGAAATTTATAGAGAGCTGTTGTAAAAAGTTTATTTGGCTATGCCTGAAGTAAGAACAAGCAAGTGGTAGGTCCTCTGCATGGGGAACATGGAGAAATGCTATTGGGTGACAGAGAAAAAGTGGAACTACTCAACGCTTACTTTGCCTCTGTCTTCACCCAAAATAAAAGTGATGCTGCCCAACCTGGTGATGACAGAATAAATGATGTAAGGAGGGAGCTGCAGCTCAAGATAGGAAAAGAGGTAGTAAGGGAACACATAGCTATTTTAAATGAATTCAGACCTCCAGGGCCTGATGAACTGCATCCAATGGTACTAAAGGAGCTCATGGATGTAGTTTCAGAGCCTTTGTCTATTATCTTTGAGAATTATTGGAGAACAGGTGAGACCCCCTACACACTGGAGGTGGGCAAATGTCCCCATCTTCAAAAAGGGAAAGGAAGACCCAGGTAACTGCTGACCGGTGAACTTGACATCGATAATAGGGAAGGCCGTAGAACAGATGAACAGTCAGTCTGTGAGCATTTGGAAAAGGATGCTGTGATTAATAAAACCCATAATAGGTTTCTCAAAAGTAAGTCATGTAAGACCAATCTGATTTCTTTATTTGATGGAATTACAAACTTGGTGGATCAGGGGAATGCTGTGGACATAGTGTATCTTGATTTTATTAAGGCTTTTGACAAAGTTCCCCATAATAGTCTCGTAAGGAACCTGGAAAATGTGGGTTGAATGAGGTAACTGTTAGGTGGATTTGTAGCTGGTAGACTCGCCAAACCCAAAGAGTACTCATTCATGGTTCCTTGTCATCCTGGAAAAAAGTCACAAATGGGGTACAGCAGGGTTCTGTCCTGGGCCTGTTGGATGAAGGAATTAGGATGCTCATCAAATTTTCAGATAACACCAAACTGGGAGGGGTAGCTAATGGCACAGAAGACAGAATCAAATTCAAAATGACCATAACAGATTGGAGAACTGGGCACAATCTAACAAAATGAATTTCAATAGGGTTCAGATCAAGGGAAGAAATAGTACCACTCTATTCTGTCTTAGACCACACTTGGACTATTGTGTCCAATTCTGGGCATCACAATTTAAGAAGGATGTTGACAAGCTGGGATGTGTGCAGAGGAGGGCAACCAAGATAATCAAGGGTCTGGAAACCAAGCCTTATGAGGAGTGCTCGAAGGAGCTGGCTATATTTAGCCTGGAAAAGAGGAGACTGACAGGAAATATGATAGCCATCTTCAAACATCTTAAGGGCTGTCACATGGAAGATGGAGCAAGCTTGTTTCCTCCTACTCCAGAGGGTAGGACTCAAACCAATGGCTTCAAGTTGCAAGAAAGGAGATTCCAACTAAACATTCGGAAAAACTTTCTGAAGGTAAGAGCTGTTCAGCCGTGGAACAGACTCCCACAAGAGGTGGTGGACTCTCCTTCTTTGGAGGTTTCTAAACAGGTTGGATGGCCATGTGTCATGGATGCTTTAGCTGAGATTCCTGCATTTCAGGGGGTTGGATTAGATGACTCTTGGGGTCCCTTCCAATTCTAAGATTCTATTCTGCTATTCATGATTTTTGGTTCCCTTGTGAAAGAACGAAAATCATAATACACAAACTGAGTAATACAGTGGTGCCTCGCAAGACGAAATTAATTCGTTCCGCAAGTTTTTTCTTCTTGCGAGTTTTTCGTCTTGCGATGCACGGTTTCCCATAGGAATGCATTGAAAATCAATTAATGCGTTCCTAGGGAAACCGACTTCAGACCAGGTCCGGGGACAGTCTGTCCCCCGACCTCTTCTGAAGGCTGGGGGGGGGGCAAGGGCTTTTCTTCCCACCCCCAGCATTTTAAAAAACCCCGGGACAGCGGAGGGCTTCTCCGCTGTCCGGGGCGATCTTAAAATGCTGGCGGGCGGCATTTTAAAATCGCCCCGGGACAGCGGAGGACTTCTCTGCTGTCCGGGGCGATTTAAAAGCCCCTGGGAAGGCAGGCAGGGGGGACAAAGACTTTTGCCCCCCGCCAGCCTTCAGAAGAGGTCCTGAACCTCTTCTGAAGGCTGGCGGGGGGCGAAAGTCTTTGTCCCCCCTGCCTGCCTTTAAAAGCCCTCCCGGGAGAGCGGAGAAACGCGCTGCGTTTCTTCGCTCTCCAGGGAAGGCAGGCAGGGGGGACAAAGACATTTGCCCCCCGCCCTCCTTCAGAAGAGGTCCAGGACCTCTTCTGAAGGCTGGCGGGGGCGAAAGTCTTTGCTCCCCCCGCCTGCCTTCAAAAGCTGTCCGGCCAAGGCTTCGCGGACCTCTCCGCAAGCAGCGGCAGCGCTGCCGCTGCTTGCGGAGAGTTGCCGGCATGCCGAAGCCTGCGCGCGCGGACCTCTCCTGCCTTCAAAAGCCGTCCGGGATAGCAGGAAGCGCTTCCCTGCTATCCCGGACTGCTTTTAAAATGCTGGCGGTGGGGAGCAAAGCCTTTCGGCCCCCGCCAGCCTTCCTGGACCTCTTCTGAAGGCCGGAGGGGGGGGGAAGGCTTTGCTCCCCACCGCTAGCATTTAAAAGAGGTCCCCGGAGATTTCCCTATGGGCTTTCGTCTTGCGAAGCAAGCCCATAGGGAAATTCGTTTTGCGAAGTGCCTCCAAAACGGAAAACCCTTTCGTCTAGCGGGTTTTCCGTCTTGCGAGGCGTTCGTCTTGCGGGGTACCACTGTATACAAAAGAGAGATATGAACAGTGGGCTACATCATAGCATGGTTCATAATTTACATACAATGTCAGTGGTGTTTCTAGGACTAAGGTGAAACTGTGAAGCTCCCTTGTTATTTTTGCTACTGAATGCTTCTATCTTACTATATAGTATTGAAATTTGATTTTTTGTACGGCATTATTAAATTGCTTTAGTGTTTGAAATGTATTCCTGTTTTCTTTGTTGTAAGCTGCTTTGAGCATGATTTTCTTTTTGGGTGTGGAAAAACTGCATACAAATAAAGTGAACGAATACTTATTTGTCCCCCCCGCCCTGAAATTCTGATAGGTGGACATGATACACTGTTTTGTTTTGTTATTACATTATGTATTTTGAGTTCTTTACGCTGTAAACTGCCCTGCCTGTGATGATCTTCATTGAAGGGTGGTATATAAATTAAAATTAATAATAATAATAATAATAATAATAATAATAATATAATAATAATAATAATAATAATAATATCCCTCACATGGCCTGCTGCTGTCACTTGGGCACATCACGGTGTGTGTGTGTGCTGATGTGATGTGTGCACCCACATGCTACAGAGTGGAACTTGGGGGAGGGCGGTGGCCCCTCCATTAAAAATTTGTGGGCGCCCAGGCACAAGTCAGTGCCTATGCTCACTATGGGGTGGGGGGGGGAAATAATAGTGTCCAAATTTCTTTCTTTTTTAAATTCACCACTTTTACTGCAGAGCTGGAAGGGGCCCGAGGGTCATCTCGTCCAACGCCCTGCAGTGCAGGAATCTCAGCTAAGGCACCCAGGCCAGGTAGCCTCCTATATATTGAGTTGACGCCCGTCTGTCTCGGGAGACAAGGGAGATTATACGTATTAGGGTTCGAGCCCAGCCAAGGACAACGCAGGGGGTTGGACTAGATGACCCCTGGGGTCCCTTCCAACTCCGCAATGCAAGACACAAGAGAAAGGACGAGAAGAGCTCACCTTGGCTTCGCAGCCCCGCCTCGCCAGGAAAGGGCCTTTCTGGAGCAGCCGGGGCTCCGCGTTCGCCAGCAGGCGAGGGTTTTCTGTCCCGCGGGAGCCGCCGTAGCGCCGTCGCCTTGGCAACCGAGCCGGGCCAAGCGGCCTTGCGCTGCGCCGCGCGAAGAGAGCCATGGACGCGGCCCACCGAGCCGCCCTGCTCGCCGCCTCCTGCCTCCACACGCCGGTCGACCCGCGCACCAGGGCCCCGGTCGCGCTCTACGAGAGGGAGGGCGGGCGGCCCGCGCCGGGGGACGGCGAGCGGCAGGTAGGCCGAAAGCGGGGGGAGGAGGCCGGAGTCGGCGGGGGGGGCTGCCCCCTGGTGGCCGCGGGAGGGAACGGCAGGAGGCGCATTCGCCCTTCCTCCCAGGAAAAGTGGCACTTGCTGCGGGTCTCGAGGCAAAAGAGCGGAGCGGGGGAGCGCATTAATATTAATTAATACTATTTATTAATTATTAACTATTAGATATTATTAAATTATTATAATGTTTATAATAATGTTTTTATTATTATTTATTATATATTATTATTATTATTATATATAATAATAAACAACTTAATAGTCCCTTGTCCCCTGAAGGTCTATTATACACACTCGCACACATGCAATAACCACAAAGAAAGAAAAATAATAATGAACAATGCTCCCACCCAGTAATTAGCAGGCAACTATTTTGCCAAAGAGCAGGGAGGGGGATTAGGCTAGATGGAAAATCTCCTTATTGTTTTTGTTTATTTATTTATTTCGCACAACTTATACACCGCTTGATTGTTAAAAACCTCAGAGCTTTTTAGAAAAAGATAAAACAATAAAATCGAGAAAAATTCACAACCATAGTTTAAAACCTGCAGAAGTTAAAATACTGAAACAGATTAAAATTACCTGAACTTTCTAAGCACCTGGGTAGGCTTGTCTAAACAAAAATGTTTATCTGTTTTTTAAGCATAAAAAGGTAAAGGTAAGCTTGCTAGTTGCTTTTTACCAGGAAGATCGCCAAGTGACTTACAGCCATGGACACAATGCCTTAAGAGAAGGGAAAATATTGGGGCATTGGGAATTATACATCGTCTAACATGTATGAAAAAATAAAAGCAACACAACCACCATGTAAATAACTAGGAGAAATCAGCAACCAAAGCTTTTCCAGCTGTGATTGCAATGACTGGAAATCACAAATGCTAGCAGCTAAGAAAAACAGTTGTTAAACCAAATATGCTTAATAAGAAAGAAAGAGAAACACTGAAAGATTGACAGCTCCTCTCAAAATCACCCATGCTTGTGCCTTGAATGACTGCCGGATTGACACACATTTAACCAGCAGTGCTTTTATTAGCACAATGAAAACTCTGCTAGTGAAACATGTGCCTCTTGTGCACTTTTGCTTTAAACGGAGGTGGCAGGTCTTTCTGATGTTGGGAGTAACCATGACATTTTTTATATGCTGGGCTGAAAATGCCGACAATCAGATATTGCTGTAGGTCCAGTTTTGTTCTGTATGAGTGGAAGTTGTACCTTGCCAGGCTTTGCTAAGGTCTGCCTTTCCTCTCTGGCATGAAGGAGAGTGCATATTGTAAAGTCTGTGTGTCTTTGTGTATGATGGATCAGGCTCTATGACACATGGGTGTCTTCCTGCCTCCCCTCTTTTCTGCTGCCAATCATGTCACTGGGCTGTCACTTAGAACAAGAAAGGTGGCAGACTGAAAACCAGCTGTTTAATGAGTAGTAGTGTTCTAAGAATAAAAGCTTGCACTTTTAAATTTGTCAACTGCAAAGGTAATAACACTGCAAGTTTCGAAACATTCTAAATTCTTTAACTTGCATGCTTTTTTAACAATCAAGTGGTATATAAATTGTATGAAATAAAGGAAAACCGATGGAATCAATTCTAAATGGTTTTACTTGTCTTATTGCATTTTGATTGAAGACATTAGCGTAGGTAATGTTTCTGAGAATTTGTAAGTCACAAATACTATAGGAACCAGATGGTATTTGTATACCAAGCCTACACAAATCTCTTAATGAGCTTTACATCAGAGGAGTCGAAATGAGTTTACGTGCAGCTAACCAGAAAGGTACATAGTGTTGTAGTATGTCTGTTGATGAAATGCAGTTATTCATTTGAAATTAGAAATAAAAATGGATTTAAATGTTTATTACAGTTGAGCAATTTTGGCTACAGGATGATGTCATGCAGATTGGACCCTACTTTTACCATTTCTCAGCAGTTTTCAATGCTGAGAGGCGCCAAGTTTCACAGTTGATGGCACCTACCACTTGACCAAATTACTAGCATTTTATACTTATTTCTCCAAGGGGAATGAAAACATTATAATAATATTCTGTTTCAGGATAGTTTGAGTCCTGAGAGACAGCAGCGGTCTACTGGACAAGCCGATTGCAGAGACTGGATAGACCTCTCCAAAATGTACCTTTCAAATCAAGAATATTATTTAAAGCTGGAAGAGCTTAAGTACGCTCACCTGGAGACCATGGCAAAATTGGAAAACATGTATCGGAATAAACTGTATCTAAAAGATGTTCAACCTTTAACAAATGTGGATGTGACCCATAGTATGAATGATAGGTATGGTTTATAATCTATTTTTGTAGTGTTATTTCTCTGAAGATGTTAAATATTGCAGTTACAGGCAGCGACCCTTTTAGGGGTTGACATGTGATTGCTGACGCGCAGGTCTTTTGGACCTGGAAGTGGGCAGAATGGGGTGGGGGTGGGGTGGGGGTGGGGGGACAGGGCAGAATGGGGTGGGGTGTGCTTATGTGTGCTCTGCTGACACATGCAGGGGCCAGGAACGAAGCCCCTGCATGAAATAGTTGCTGCCTGTATATATATTATGGAGGAATCTGCATGCTGATAATCTCACCAAAACAGTGTTTTATATACTATATGCCAACAGCTTAATTTTTTTAAACTGCCGAAGAACCTTCAGTTCTAGATTTTTGTATCTGGCTGCACTTGCCTCCCTGCAGGGAACTCAGAAAGAACAGCTGAACAAGGAAGAGAACTGAGTATTGTGTGTGTGTGTGTGTGTTTCTTGCCTTGATTTGTTTGAAAATATCCTTAATTGTAGGATAAACTCCTTAATCCTACTGAAAACGTCAGAATTGGTTCAACTATTGTCGTGTACAATAGGTTATATATAGATATAGATGTTGGAAGGTAATTATTTAACTTTCAGAGTTACTGAGTGTGTAACACTGCTAATTGCTTAACTATGCTTAAGCAATTGGGAGTGCACTTTCTTCCCCACTCGATCCTTTTGGACTGGAGTGTAAATTCTTCCTAGGGATTCAGCACCAATTAACTATTACGTCGGATGGTGGCATTAGCTGATGCTAAGACTAACCAGGCTTCCTGCTTACACCAAAATCTGAAGCCGTGGTTTAGGACAGAAATACTGAAATGGGACTGAAATTAAATTTCGGGAACATAGTATGCGGCTTTAATACCAGGTCAGCCCATTGATTCATCTAGCTCCGTATTGCCTCACTGACTGGGAGCAGCTCTCCAGAGTTTCCAGTTGGCTTCTTTCCCAGCAGCACCTGAAAATTCCAAGGATTGAACCTGGGACATTCTGCATGCAAAGCAGATCCTCTGCTAATGAGCTGTGGCTTATCTCCCGATTCATAGTAACAAAGTACTTTTGCATAGGGGTTTCCAAAGGTTTTAGAACACTGTGCAGATACTCCTTAGGGAGCGCCTTCTAAAATTAATTTTCAGTTTTGCTAATAGGAATACTTCTTATTTTTACTTCTATTCTCTGTCTTACAGGAGACCCAGTGATGTGAGTTCTGATCGCAGACGTAAAGCTAACATCCAGCCTATGGTTGCTTGGTCCTAACACAAATATTTCACTAAACTCTACATTTTATCATAAGGAACAAATGCAGTTTGGGGAGAGCTATTTTTCAGGCTTCTGGTAACAAAGGCGATGAGCTGGGACACAACCAGTATAGCCCAACCTGCTATACTGGTGGGATTCTTTAGACTTGAAATGCTCCTCCAATCTGTTATTCATCAAAGCAGTCTGGTTATATTTTGCTGCTTGCAGAAAACTAACCGTCACATTTTTATTTCCTTTTAGATCTTGGGAGCCAAGCCCTTTTCAACCTCAGAATATGTGTAAATCATTTTCTGAGCCTGATTTGAACAACTCTTTTCATTCAGATTTATCTCATATATCTGATAAAGAATTAGAGTTAGAAGAAAATAACAGTGAAAACAGATCACTAACATTTGGTAAGGAGCAAGCTGAAAATTCATGGGATGGGTCATCTTTGGAGGACTATTCTCACTGCAACCAAAGTATTTTATCCAAATTACAGACTTTGAGGAAGAGCAGGAGGAAGAAAAAAAAGTGGTCCCCAAAGATCACAATACCTGAGCCTTTCCAGATGACTATCAGAGAAGCTAAGATCAAACAACAGAACATAAAGTCAAAGTCACTGATTGAACTGGAAAATAACTTGCTGAAGAAAGAATTGGAGGAGGAAGCAGAATGTCAAAAGAAATTCCGAGCCCATCCAGTGCCTGCTTATGTCTTTTTCCCTCTCTATCATGATATTATGCAGCAAAATGAAGAACGTAGAAAGTCACTAAGAGAGAGGAGGCAAGAGATCCTTCTAGCTACACAGAAGCCATTTCAGTTTATTGAGCGGGAAGCACAAAAGAAAGAAATGAAGAAAATGCAGTTGAAGTACGTTTCTTCACCAGAAAAGAAAGCAAAAGTATTCAAAGCAAAGCCAGTTCCTAAATTTGTTTATAGTTCAGAAATTAATGAGAAGCTAAAGGAGGAAGAGCTTTATAGAGATATTAGAATTCAGATGAGATCAGAAGAACTTCTGCGCAATTCATCTCTCCCTAACAGTAGGTTAGGAAACAGAGGCATTAATAAGAATAGGCAGCAAAATCATCTTGAGCTGACTAAAGAAGTGGAACACAAACCAAAGACCAAAGCCAAGGTCCCAGATTTTGAAATTTTACATCAAAAATTCCTGAAGCGGCTTCAGAGACAGAAGAATGTGAAACACATTACAGCCTGTGAACCCTTCAATCTCTGTACACCAAATATAGCATCTAACAAAGAGAAGATTCTTGAGGACATTCAAATGGATGAAGAAAAATTAAAGGAAACACGCTGGCCCTTTGCTTCTTCAAGAGCTAAGCCTCAAATGAGGTCTTTGAATGCAAATTCATCTCCTTCAGGCTGTGAAGAACCTGTATCTCCAAGAATTACAGAATCTACAAGACGACGACTACAAGTAGTCAGGTGAGCTGTTCACAGGCCTGGACTGATGTAATAGTCGTGAGTTTAATTTCAAGTTGCTTGTGGAAAATAAAACCATGTTGATGCAATAAGGTACTAAATACTTGTTTTAGTTATCGCTGCATATCTTAAGTGAAGTTAAAACTACGATCCGCATGGGATTAATGAAATTATTATTCTGTTTATAATGATTTTACTAATTGCATGTGGATTTTTTTTATATAAGTAATTTTTATTGGTTTTCATATCTGTTTAACAACATATGACAACTAAACATAATCATGTTAATCATATTAATTTTGATTTTTTTGATAACGAAATATGAAGATTATCTTTGAATGCGTGAAATTCATGCTATTTTGGAGAGGAATTCAGTGTTGCACTAAGGCAATCATCAGAGCAAGCATTTCAGATGAAATGAACCCCCCTTTCCTTCCTCCATGTGCTGTTCTGGGGCTTTCAGGGAATGGGGGTGGCGGGTGGGGAAGTCCTTTTCATCCCCATAATTGTTTTAAGCCACACTCCATTGTCAGCATCTGATTTTGCGGTCCCCTCTTCCCAGATCTTGTGTCTGGTGTTGGGGCACCAGTCACTTTGCCCTAGTTACACAACCGACAAGACCAAGGGGGCCAACCATTTCCTGAGTTCAGTGTTCTGATGTAGTGGTTGTAGCAATGGATGTCTCCAGAGAACTGGATGGATGCTTGGCTATGCTCTCTTTTAGGATAAGAGCATTATAGAAAGTACATTCTTAAATTGCATGTATGTTTGAACTCACATGCATGTCCCACACTCGTGTATTCATGCACATGCTACTGAGAGGTTTAGGATCCTTTGATCGAGTTATGATGTGCATCCGTTGTGCCCACAAGAAGTTCCTACACCAGAGGTCTATTATATGAATTGAAAGTGTCAGAATAGATAAATGTTGCTTCAGAAAGCAAAATTACAATTTAAGCAGGCAAAGAGTGAGTGAAAGAATCCTGAACTGTTCTCAAAAGCCTGTAGAAAATGAGCGTGACAATTTCACCACAGAACCCACACTAATAGCAAGTCAAGAAATGGAGCGGGGGAAGGTAGACTTGTCCTTGTGTTGTTTCCTTTGGAGTGCTAAGTAAGAATTCTTTCCTGGAGCTTGGAGAGCTAACTAACCATTGAAAATCTAGGGTTTTTGTAAAAAAATTAGCCAATTCATTCTAATGGAGAAGGAAGGGAGTTCTGAGATGAGCAATTCCTATAATTTTAGTATTTCTATTGTTCTGTTGTTTCTTCCCCGAATTTCCTGCCTATTTCCCATTTTTTTTATTTTGCTTAATAAAAAGTTGAAAGGATCTAGTGAGCAATGACTGAACTGTTTATCCTTGTTTACTTCCTGTCTTAAAGTTACCTTAGTATTATCGTGATGGCATCCATTCAGGTGTTGATTAGATGTTATTAGTTGCTAGATTTACACGTGCTGATATTTACACAAGGTATTTGGCGCTCAGGATGTCTCTTCAGTGCCTCCCATGACATATTTTTGAGATACGGCTGGTACCAGCATCAAGAAAGTTCATAATGGGGATCTCCTGTTATATTAAGTTATGCCAACCTTCTTACTCATTCCATGATCTACAATAATAAGTCATAGAAAAAGTTGAGATTGACACATACCCATTCACATCATTTTTTATTAAGTGTATCACAAGACTAACAAAATATTCCAGCAATTCAAAAGAAAGAAAGAAAAACAATTGCGCACGATTATGTATAAGGGTAAAGAGATAAAACATATTTTTAAATTATAAAAAATATACTTACACAAAAGAGGCAACATGGCAGTATTCCAAGACAGGACACAGGCACCAGATGAAATAATATTTGGGTGGGATTTGTCATCTGTGTGAACTACATTACTTCTTGATCTGTGTAAGTGTATCCTTGAGAAATTCTATAAAGCCTTTTCTCAATTTAAATTTATTTACTTCTGCTTTATTTTGTTATTCAGGGAGTCAGCTGAGGAAAAAAGAAAGGTAGAAGAAGAGAAGAAGAAAAATAGAACAAAACAAAAAGAAAGAGCAAGAAAGCTACAGAGACTTATATACACCCGGGCTGAGGCAAATGATCCCCATCAAAGTCTAGCTCAGATGCATAAATCGAAGTTTAAAATACTCAGGTATTCTGCTAATGTAGCCTCCAAATCCTGACCCTATAGGTGCAAGAGCATTAGTTCAGTAGCAGGCCCTCAAAGTGTGTAACATAGTTTAGTCTTGCTGCTTCTATTTTCATTTTGCTGTGAAAGTTCATGATTAATTTCCATACCATTTCCATGTCATGGTATATTAAAAAAACAGGAAACATGAAAAGCAGAGAATGAAAGAATATCTCCAGGAGCTGGAAGAAATGGAAGAAAGAGTGGAAAAGAGGCCACTGTTGTTGGAACAAGCTACACAGGTTATTGACATCTCTCATATATTGGGGTGCCAGATTTCTTCTTTATCTGATGATCAAGAACTGTCATTGAGGTGATGCAAGTTATGCCACCTTCCCAGGCTCCGGTCTCCCATTGCATCACTTCTGTACGCCTCATTTCATTTGTCTGTGCTTTCTCAACCAGCAATGATTGCTGCCTTCCTGGTTATAGTTGTGTACAGCAAGGTCCCGGTTAAGCTGTCTTATTTTATACTCTGCATTCCTAATCCACCCATCACAGTGTGAAGAGTAGAGGAGACGCCACTAAATTTAACTGTGATTATTTACACTTGTTTCGTTTGCTTGCTTGATTTCTAGTCTGCCTTTTGATCCAGAAGGATCCCAAGCGGCTTACTTAAAATAATGCAACAACATTAGGTCTGCTTCTTCCATTTCTGGCACATGGTATTGCTCTGTGCTAGTATGTCTTCCCTTCTACCTAAGGCTGCAAGTCAAGGGCAGAGATGGATGAACCAGCCCTAGCTGAGCACATATGTAATCTAAGCGTTTAATATATTTAACATGTAATTTAAACATTTAATGTGTTTGCTGGTGCAGAGGTGTTGAGTACCAAATTTAAAAATGCCACTGTCTAAAGCTTTGTGTTTGTGTTCCACAACATTTTCATGCTCTGAGGTCATGGATGTTTGGCAACCAATGTACACATCCACAGCCGTATACAGTGGTACCTCAGGTTACAGACGTTTCAGGTCACAGACTCCACTAACCCAGAAATAGTACTTTGGGTTAAGAACTTTGCTTCAGGATGAGAACAGAAATCGTGCGGCGGCCTCATTAGCTAAAGTGGTGCTTCAGGTTAAGAACAGTTTCAGGGTGAGAACGGACCTCCAGAACGGATTAAGTTCTTAACCTGAGGTACCACTGTATATTCTTTAAATTTAAGAGTATCTTAGTAATGTATTTTGTTATTCTTTTACTCTACCTCTCCTAAAATATAGAAAAATGCACGAATAGCAGCTGAGAAGCATTACTGCGGTATTCTTCGAGAGCTGGGACTATGTGAAGAGTTTGTTTCAAAGAAAGGTGAAACAGCTACAGAAATGCTTTTGCAGGACCATTCCAGTGGTGGCTCTGACATTTTGACAGCAGACGGCGGCAGGTAAATACTGCCAGTGGTTGCCATAGATCAGGATGGGCAACTTGTTGGACTCCAGCTGCCAGCAACTGCCCAGCCAAGGTGGCCAAGGTTCAAGGATGATGGAAGCCGTGGTCTAACAAAATTGGGAGGGATGCAGATTCCCCATCCCTGCCCTAGATGTTTTAAGAGGGAGACTGACAACTTTAATCTCAAACTGCCCCTTTTGCTGTAGTTTATTCTAATAGCCCAGAACTCTAAAATCCAAAGCCTCATGTGCATGTGGTATGTCTGCACCTCCTCTCTGGAGAGAGACTTAAATCTCCATTGGGTGACGGCATCATGTGAGTCAACATCAACTTCCCCTTCCTCTTTTTCCCTCTTCTGGCCCCCATGCTATCCCAGTCTGGTCTAGTGGGTTCCCCAACTCTCCAGAGCACATTTGGGGGGCATGCAGGGGACTACATGGGAGATGGTGAGAGATCTGTCCTGCCAGCTGTGGTCATTCTACTGGCAGATGGACACTGTTGGATTTCACCCATTGAAAAGAATGTGAAAATATTCACAGCCCTTATACCTGCAGTTGATTGGTGGATTGAAGAATTGATGGTAAAAGTACTCAAAGTAAAGCAAACTGCCAAAACCTAAAAGGCCACGGATGCTTCTTCTAGCTGGGATTACACTAAGTGTGGATTTCCTTTTTTTACTCAGTTATTAGGTTATTACATCAGAGCTGCAAGAAGTGGAATGGGCAAGGTAATCAAGCAGCTTTTGGAAGATCAACAGCAGACTTGGAGCTCTCTAGTGGACATGACAATAGCTGCCCTTATTTTTCAGGAGGGTTCCCTAGAATGGAGGGGCTGTGAGGCCACCCCCTGAACCATCCCATATATACCAATCATGTTGGAACATTAGTAATTTTAGCTTGATAACTTCTAATTGAGCTGACCTAGCTGGGCTTGTGGCTGATTATTCTATGGAGACTGACTGGCACTTACAGCTAGAGCTCGGTCCATGAGTATGAGGACCAACCACATGCGTGGCTCCAATATCGGAGTGCTGATTTTAAAAACAAGGCCATTCTGTATATTGCTTCACACAGAAAGCAGGCTGCTGGGTGACTTGCTTCAGGATGTCCTCAAGAAAGGACACAGTGATGGTTTTATCACTTACTGCCTTCTTACAGTCAAGATGGAGAAGGGCAGGCATTTAGAGTTTGCATGCTGCTCCAAGATTCTTTTTTTTTAAAAAAATAATTTTTATTAATTTTCCAACACAAATATACAATTTTCTCCAAATTTTCACAAATTTAACTCTTTTTGGACTTCCTTCAGCTTCTCTGACAATCATCCATTTTTGACTCTCAATTACGCATTTCGTCTGTGTAATATTGCCATTAGTCTTCCCTCCCACCATCTATTTTTTTTAACAATATATCTCAACTTTTACAGTGCTTCTTTAAAACCCACTAGCGTTGTTTGCACTTCACATATACTTTTCAGATATTCAGCAAATTTCCCCCAGTCCTCGATGAACTTTTGGTCTCGAAGATATCTAACTTTCCCTGTTAGTTTGTCCAGTTCTGCGTAGTCTGTTAATTTCATTCTCCATTCTTCTTTCATCGGTATTTCCTATTGTTTCCACTTTTGGGCCAGTAGAATTCTTGCTGCTGTAACTGCGTATTGGAAGAGCTTATAGTTCTTTCTTCTTATTTCCTTTCCTGTAATCCCTAAAAGAAAAGCCTCTGGTTTCTTTACAAATGTATATTTTAACATCTTTTTCATTTCATTATATATCATCTCCCAGAAGCCCTTCACTTTTTTGCAGTCCAACCACATATGATAAAATGTTCCTTCTTTTTCTTTACATTTCCAACACTTATTACAAGTCTTATACATTTTTGCTAATTTTACCGGTGTGATGTACCATCTATAAAACATTTTCATAACATTTCCTTTAACGCCGTACAAGCAGTAAATCTTACATTCTCCTTCCATAATTTTTCCCAATCTTCAAATTGTATATTGTAACCAAAATCTCTGGCCCATTGTATCATTACCGATTTAACTTCCTCATCTTTCATATACCATTCCAACAATATCTTATACATTTTTGACAAAATTTTACAGTCATTGTTTATTATATCTGTTTGAAACTTTGAGTCTTTTTCTGCATAACCACTTTCTTTATTATCTTTTTTGAACATTTCATTGACCTGAAAATAATGCAACCAATCATAAACATGTTCCCTAACTTGTTCATATGGTTTTAATTTCCATTTACCTCCTTCTTCAATTATCAGTTCACCATATGTGATCCAATTATCTCTCATATTTATTTTCTTCACACACATAACCTCTAACGGAGACAACCAGTGTGGAACTCTTGGTTCTAATAGGTTTTTATACCTATCCCATACTTCTATTAATGGACCTCGGAATATGTGGTTCCCAAACCCTTTGTGTATTTTCTTCTTCTCACACCATAGATACGCGTGCCATCCAAATCGGTTATCGAAACCTTCCAAATCTAATAACTCCTTCTTTTCTAATTTTATCCATTCTTTTAACCAACAGAGGCAGGCTGCTTCATAGTATAATTTCAAATCTGGCAGGGCGAAGCCTCCTCTTTCCTTAACATCTGTTAATAACTTATATTGCTGCTCCAGGATTCTTTGTTCTTGTGGGCTTACGATCCATTTCATCTGGGGGACAGTGATCTTCTGTACCAGTGCGCTCTTTGAGTATATGTGCATGGCAGCCTGATGGCTTCTTTGTTCATGAGGCATTCCGAGATTGATGGTTTTGTCTCTGCAGATGCCTCCTTTGAGGGTATCTGGGAGGGTTCAGGGCACATGGGGGGGGGGAGGAAAAGTGAGAGGACCTGCTGCACAAAGCATAAGTCATTGCACTAATGGACCTGTGACTTAGCAGGACCTGTGGCTTGGATGCAAGCCATAATGCAACACAAGTTGAAACTAAATTTTACAATGCAATAACATTGTCACCAGTGCAATAACACGAAATCACGCCAGTTGACAAATTTGAGAATAGCTCCTTATGGCTGTGATCTGATTGGGTCATAATATGTATTCAGCTGTTCTGAATACCAATGGGCAGTGTTTTTCTTCTGTTTCTCCTGTAGTGATAATGAAAATAAAGCAGGAGATGGAGAATCTGAGAGAGAATGGGAAAGCTCACAGCTCCATTCTGCCCAGTCTTGTGGAGAGGAGGATGGTGATGAGGAGGAGGATGTGGAAGCCTCTGAAGAGGAGGTGGACATGGAAGCTCAGCCAGATCACGATGGCCAGGAGGCTCCTGAGTATGAAAGTGAAAACAGTGAACAAGCTGCCACAGAAAAATCCAGTGATGATGAAGGCTAACTGAAATACATGTCTGCTTCCATGTTGTGTCGGTTTTGGTGTTTTGAATTTATTCTGTTGCTCCAAATAATATAAGAGATGGAGAAAATGAGACAACTGGTGCAAATAGAGTTTTGAAGCATTTTTAATGTGCTGATCAGCTGTGAGTTTTCAACTGGCTTATTTTATTTATTAAATTTGTAGACTGCCCTATATCTGCAAGTCTCAGGGTGGTTCCCAGGATAAAATCAATATAAAACCACAAAATTCATAATCAAAACAAAAACAACCCAATAATCCTTCCCCCACATTTTAAAAAGGCATAGGATGTCAACCAACCAAAGGCCTGGTTAAAGAGGAATGTTTTTGCCTGGCACCTAATGGTGTATAATGAAGGCCCCAGGCAAACCTCCCTGGGGAGAGCAATCCACAGATGGGGAGCCACTGCAGAAAATGCCTGTTCTCGTGTTCCCACCCTCTGGATCTCGTGGAGGAGGCACATGAAGAAGGGCCTCAGAAGATGAACTCAGGGGCTGGATAGGTCCATATAGAAAGAGGTGGATCTTTGAAGTATTGTTGTCCTGAGCCATTTAGGGCTTTATAGGTTAAAACCAGCACTTTTAATTGGGCCCAGAAACTAATTGGTAGCCAGAGCAGTTGGACCAGGATTGGTGTAATATGCTCAAACTGTCTTGCCCCAGTGAGCAACCTGGCCGTTGAATTCTGCACCAGCTGAAGTTTCTGAACTGCCTTCAGAGGCAGCCCTACATATAATGCATTGCAGTAATCCAGCCTAGAGGTTACCAGAGCATAGGCAACTGTAGTTAGGCTATCCCTGTCCAGATAGGGGCATGGCTGGGCCACCAGCCAAAGCTGATGGAAGGCTCTCTGGGCCACTGAAGCCACCTTTCATTTACTCCTTTTATTATAAAAAGCAAAGGTAGCTGTGTTGGTCCCTAAGGGGAAAAAACCCTCCAAAATCTACAGTTTGCAATTCCTTATTAGGACAAATCGAAATATCACAAAGCAGTGGCAAGCATTTGTGTTTTCCAAAATTCTTAATCAGGCAAGATATTACATAGGGCAAGGGCAGGGGAATGAGGAAAAATAAGCAAGTATAAAGCATATAGATTTTAGTAGATGTGTGCATCATCTGTGTGTAGAGGCTGAATAACAAGGTGAATTAGGCTGATTTGAGGTATCCCCCCAAGTTGAAGCACAATGTATATAATCCCCCTTCTCAAAACTGGGTAAGTGCTCCTGCAAGGCCATGTGATTTTCTGCTTGTTTTGTACAGAATAGTTCTGTTTTTTGTATATATCTCTTTCTCTAGGTCCATGGGCTTTGTAAAACACGAGACTGCCAAAAATGTTGCTTGCAGAGCCCTGGAGAAATTTGGATTGATTTTTGTTAAAGCACAGCAGCAGAGGATACTTTTTAAAAGTTAAAATTTACATCTTTCTCATAAATTCTTTGCTGCCCTGCTTTAATCAAACCAAAAGAAAGCTCTCCGGGCCATTTTCTAGAGAGCCTCATATTGTGAGGCCTGTATCAGACGTCTGAAGGCCTATCTTGGAGGACACAAACAGCCACAGGAAAATTTTTTAAAATGTAGAAGCAAGAATACACATCACATGGACCTTCTATTTATTGTCTTAAGGTAAGAAAGAGCAAGAGACAGTCCCCTTTGAAAAGATGCAACTGCTATGGATTTGGGTGTTTTAGTTGGCCTACTGAAGTCATTGTCCTAATACAGATTATGAAGGAAAGTTAACAGCACAAACAGACTTTGTCTGCAATTTGGCGGCCTTAATCCATTCTGGAGAAGGCCAGTTATGCCTCTATAGTTTGTCCACTTTGGCCAAAGGGGGGGGGGCAAGTCCTAGGTATTTTTTGATTCTACACCATAGAGCTCTGTTTTATATAATGCAGCTTGGAATCCAAAACATAGATTGAAGTGATGAGAGCACAGAACATGGCAGGAACAGAGAGAAATTGCATATAGATTCAAAGCAAATCTTGGGCCCTGTGGACAGCCTTAGCTTTCAGGCACTGGGTAGAGATTGCAAACTGGCAAGTCTCTGTTTAGTGCTGTAGGTATCAGGTTTTGCATTTAGGATTCTGGGACAAACAAGCAATGCCTGTTCCATATATATATCTATCTATGTGTGTGTGTGTGTGTGTGTGTTCTATTTATTTCGTAAAATTTATATACCACTTGTTTTGGGGAAAAAACCAACAACCCTTAAAGAGAAATGTGGCAGTCTAAATGTTAGTAAAACTAGAGATTAATTTTAAGTGATATCTTAAGTAAATGAGTCAATTGAAGCCCAAACTATTGCATAGTGGTTGAAGGGTGTGTCACTCTCAGAATGCAAAGTTCCTCTATGAGTGGTAAAAATCATCTACCTCTGGATATACATTTTGCCCTGAAGCTTGGAGAAGCAACGGAAGCTTCTGGTTCATAGAACCCCACACCCACCGCTGGGCAATGTTTTCCATTAGGAAGCACAGCCGTACAGCGCCACCTGGTGTTACATGCTTATAGCAATAAAATGGATGAATGTAGCTGAGTCCCATGTGAATCAGTGCAGCAGAGCTTAGAAGTGGGGAAAGTTGCCAAGAGCTGTCCTTCTAATGATTGCCAAGATTCATCTCTAAGATACAAATACTAGATTTGTAGCATCTGTGAACACTTGTTACTTCAAAACATAGTTGTACTCTATTATTATCATTTTTTTATAGTTTCTAACTTTTATTTATTCTGTCTTCGCTATTCCTTTCCATCTGAAGAAATTTCAGATCGCAGATTAGATCATCACACAATAATTTCATTGAGTGAGTGGTATGGCATGCACCATGACAATAACTGAGGTGGTACCTATATGTTCGGTCCTATCGCTTGCCTAAGATTCCTTTGCTACATCATTTATCAAATTATTTCTACATCACGTTTTGGGGCACAGTCCAATCAGGTGGCTCACAGTATAATATCAATATGGACTCATCCTTTGAATTTTCAAAATGTAGGTTTACTGTTCTGTAAATGGTTTGTGAAAATGATACTTTCCTCAGCAGTCATGAATCTCAGTATAGTGATAAAATCTTTATAGTAAAAGTGTTTTGAGAGTGATGAGGAAAATATAAAAATTAGGTAAGTGTTGCAGCCATTAGGTTACTTTTTAATTATAGTTGGAAAAACAAAATGACTTAATATGTGTAGCAGTAAATGCTTAGCTCAGGGGTCGCCAGTGGTACTGTAGGTCTCCATAAATATCTCTTCAAAAATCCACATTAGAATGTTGGAAATGTAATGAGACTGAAGGTACATTCTTTCACCTTTGGTGGACATGCCCAAGGATTAAGACATTCTGGGAGATGATTTATAACTAAATGAAAAAGGTATTTAAATATACCTTCCTGAAGAAAGCAGAGGCCTTTCTCCTGGGCATGGTCGGCCAATTGGTGCCAAAGAAGGATAGAACTTTTTTTATGTATGCAACAACAGCAAGAATACTCATCGCGAAGTATTGGAAGAAAACAAGATTTACCCACCAGGGAAGAATGGCAGATGAAGTTGATGGACTATATGGAACTAGCGGAAATGACTGGCAGAATCCGAGACCAGGGAGAAGAGTCGGTGGAAGAAGACTGGAAGAAGTTTAAAGATTATCTACAGAAACATTATAAAATTAATGAATGCTAGAAGAATGTTGGAATGAAGTGATATGGCTTTAGTAGAAATGTTATAAGGAATTAAGTATAAATAGATTAATAGAGTATTAAAGGAAAAATAAGGTTAAAATGTGTTAAGATAATTATAGGATAGAAAACGGGAAGATGGAAAGGAATTGCTGAAATAATAGAAGTGGAATACAAAAAGGGAGGTGTGAGAAGGTTGTGGAAATAGGTGAAAGGAAGATAAGATATAGAAACTTTTTTTGTCTTTTTTTTTCTTTTTGATGTGTTTTTAAATTGTTTTTGTTGTGTTTTGTTAGTTTCTTTTGTACTGTATTGCATTGTTTTTTGTCTTTTTTTGTTTTTTCTTTGTAGTGTTTAAATTGTTGTAAAAGTAATAAATATTATTTAAAAAAATGAAAAGAAAACAAAAACCAAAATCCACAATAGAGAAGAACTTGTTCTTCCTTCTCAGTTCCTGTTTGCATTGGCTCCCCCTCCCCCCACTGAACATGCCCCCATTTCATCTGTTTTGAACAGAGGAGAGGTACCAAGAGCTTCCTTCTGAGAGCAGGTGTGGCAGTGGCTGGTCTAGTTGCCTTGCTTTGATGAGGCAGATTGCCCCATCACTTTGTGGTCCTGTCTCTCAGATGCAGTAGCAATGGCACCCCCCCCCCCGTGGCAGCCATGTTGTGTTATGCCACACTTCTGTGGCAATCCTTTTGTATTATACCACATCTCCATGGCAACCCTGTTCATAGGATCATAGCATTGTGGAGTTGGAAGGGACCTCAAGGCTCGTCTAGTCCAGCCTCCTGTAATGCGGGAATCACATCTAAAGAGTCCTTGACAGGTAGCCATCTAATCTCTGCTTCAAATGAATGAGTGTCCACCACCTTCCAGGGACTCTGCTGCGATATGCCGTAAGACATTTTCTCAAAATTTCCTCAAATATGGCCACCGATCCCAAAGAATTGGCAAACTGCGTCTTAAACAGACATAGCATGCAAACTGCTCATTTTTTATTTATTCAGATAAGATTTCATTCCAAGAGTTCCCCAGGTCTCAATGCTAGTCTACTATCAGGAAATCTGAACGTTTTAAACCTCTGCTTATAATGTGGCTCCTTTAAAATTCAAGAGGACTTTTGCCATTGATTCAGCATTGTGTGGCTTAATCAGTGTTGCATTGATTCATTACTTTAAATATATAAAATAAAACTTCCTTACTGTTACAGTGTTCCTAAACATTTTAAAAGCACAATAGTAATATCAGACATACACTTACATTGGCTATTAAATAATTATAATGCTGAGTACAGTGAAACAGCTTGATGGATGTTTCTCTTGATTTCATTGAGAAGGTTACACTGGTTAAACTTGTATCTGGGGTCCTTAACTTGTGGTCCATGGATGGGCTTGAGAAGATCCATGAACTGGGCAGAAAAGCAATGATTTTTCCAATGCAATAAAATAAATTGAATGCAAAATTTTGTGTTTATGTGCTTTCATCAGATTCTCAGAAGGGTTCATGACCC